CGTATTAGTTTGTATTCCTCGTAGCCTGCATTCGTAGCACGGTAGTGCTTCCACACACGATTTCTCCTGCGGAGCATACTTCTAAGCTCCCTATCGAACCAGGGTGGTCCCATGGCATGAGGTCGGCTCCTGCGTACGGGAGCGAATTGTTGCGCCAGCTGTGGTAGGCAGTGTTTTCAGAATTATGATCCCATAAACGATGAGAGATATGAGAAGTCCGATTAAACACCTAATTGATATGTTAACTTGTTTTTTTCTTGTTTTATTTAACCCACATAATCTGAGTTGTTCGGACACACTGTCATGACATACTGAGAGAAAACAACCGCGAACGAACACGCTTTCGCTGATTCATCCACGGGTTAATACATTGCAATTCGTCAAAATGTTCAGCACGCGGGAGATATCATGGCAAATTGTGAAGAAAACAATGATAAAGTTTGCAGTTCAATAATCAATAATCAATAATAATAAACTGGCCACTACACACGCATTGGTTCGGGTCATTAGGGGCTGGTGGAGGGGTGGCGGTATCGTTTGTGCTGTTGGTCATGGAAGACCGATAATTCTAACAAATGGTTTTTGTGAGCTCAGGAGAAGGGATTGTGTAGGTAGATCCCGAACGCTTCCACTATGGAAACCCTTAAATCGATTAGATCGACGACTGCGAAACAAACAGAAACCTTGAAAAGCCTCGACCATGTTAGCCACGTGGTGCGAAACAATCGTGCAGTTAATATTACTAGTTACTTCACTGTTCACTCAAACCGGGTGATGCCCGTAAACTCGCTCAGATAAACGTCTACTGGAGAGGCAAATTGTGTTTGTCCCATAGGAACAGGTAAATCAGTACAATGGGCCAACGGAACTACCGATGAAACTGGTTTCTGTTGAAGGTTTGTTAATGCATTCTTTGTATTGTTTAACCAATTCGCTTCTGACAGATTGACCATAAATGAATGTTCGCTTAAATTAATAATATATGCTGCGTGGATGTGACGGTTATTTTTTCTATTCTAGTACCTCCTAACCTCTCGCATGCATTCATGTCCATTCACAGATGAAAAAAATGGAACAGACCACTGACGAATTACGTTTGCACAACCTCAATCTGAGAACCAAAATCCAGGATTTAGAGCAACGACTGGAACATGAGTACAAAGTACAAACCCAGTTGCAAAAACAATTGAACCAAATTTCAGCTGAGTATCAGACGGTTCAGGAACATGCAACGACGAAACACACGCAGGTACCGGAA